AGCCCTGTGGGTGAGATTTGGCAGCAGAGGTAACCCTGAGTCACTGGGGGGGGGGGTTACACCCTGGTCCCTGTGACTGGTGGTGAGTGCATGAAGTATGGCTTGAGCTCTAACTTGATGTCAGAACATCTGGAGAGAGCAGGGGTCCGGCTGTTCTGGATGGCAGAAGCTGGTTAGAGTGAATCACTGTGGGCAGACATGTGTGTTATGTTGGCTGAGGTGGGTGGGAGGTCCAGGGAGATACATATGCAAGGCCCTGTCTGCAGACACCACTCTACAGCACAGGTCACATGGCAGTCAGCAGCAGCAGCCATTCCTCCCTGACCAGACTCAGCCCTTGAGGCAGCTCCAAATGTGCCCACCAGCTTGAGTCTTGGTGCACTTTGGAGTTGGTAGAAAAACAGGAAAAGAAGAAAGGGATGCACAGATGGCATTAGTGACTTTAGCCTACATATCTGGGAGAACAGTCTCTAAACTGGTATCACCTGGCAGTTTCTGCTGGGTTCCCGACTGTAGGATGGGAAAACAGGGATCACTTGGGGAAGATCTGTTTAAACCCAGTGAGAACCATGCCCGTGCAACTGTGTGTATGAAGATAAATGGGCTCGCTTTAGGGCTGGTCAGGTAGTCCTAAACAGTAACACTTTAACAGTATTAGTTAAAAGTTCTGTAATATACAAGGGGAAAAAAAATCACTTTATTAAAAGAGCCTTTATCATTGTCCTTTCTTTACAAAATCAAACAAAACAGGCTGTCATATAACTTGAACACTTCCCTGAGGAATTTGATGAACCCACTGATCCTCTGCCAGCTTGGAACTCTCACCACCAACAGGACAGGCAGCAGTGTGCCACCACAGGACCTATCTGCCAGTGATAACCGCTGCACAAGTGTTTCCTTTCCTAAAAGATGTTGAGACATTAAGTGACTCCCCAAAGGGGAGCTGAGTTTGTTTGGCCTTTGGCCTAAGGAACATGAGCTGGGGGTGGGGTGGGGAGCCTCCAGTCTATAGAGGCTCTGGCGGGAAATTCTTGGATTTCCTGAGACTGAACCAGCTTGTTCTGGCTTTGTTTAGGTTTGCAGAGCCTGGCCTCCTGCTGTGGTCTTGACAAGGAACCATTAGGAAGCATTCATTTTCCTAGTACTGTACCTTGAAAATAGTGGCCCATTTTTCATCAGGGAACCAGAAAGTGGCCATTATCAGGCATTTGTGTTAATGTGTTGGCATGGCTGGTACATATGGGCACTATGTAAATGTTACACTTAGGGCTTAAAAGGTTTGCTATGCCGCTGCCAGGAGACTTTGACTCTCTTTTATTGCTATAGGTTCATGGGTCAACAGCACTCACGGTCATTTAATTCTCTGTGCCTTACAATTTAGTCACTGAAAAGGGTGTTGCAGATGGGGAAGGGTGGCCGAGCAGCAGAAGGCACTGGCATAAATATTTTGGGTAGATGATTTGCAGGTATCCCCAAAGGTCCTGATATCCACAATTTGCTGCTCTTTCTCCTCCCTCCCCCTCTTCTCTGTTTTTTGAGACTGGGTTTCTCTGTTGACCAGGCTAGCTCTAAACTCAGTGATCTGCTCCCTCTGTGCTGGGATTGTGATTTGTGTCTTATGATAAAGATTTCTTCCAGCTTTTTATTTCTAATTTTGTATTCTTTTCCTTAAAAAGTATGAGCTCTCGATCCTACATTCAAAACAGCTGGACAAAACAGCCCTACAGACTACAGCCAGGATATCTGAATCTTCTTCGAATCCCCCAAGACAGCGCCCCTTACCAGCAGGAAGTAGTTTGGAAAGAATGACGCCCAAATTCCCAAATATTGTGTATAAATGTTTGTTTTCATTTAATTGGACTGTTATATAAAATTAAATAAAAATTAAAAAAAAAAGTATGAGCTCTCAAGCTGGGTAGTGGTTATGTACACCTTTAATCCTAGCACTGGGGAGGCAGAGGCAGGTGGATCTGTTTTGCAGGCATGGTCTCGTGTATCTCTGTATGTTTTTAAAGGCAGGTCTCCCCTAGCCCAGGCTGGCCTCTGACCTCACCATGTAGCTTGGGAAGACCCTGAACTCCTGATCTTCTCACTTCTACCTTCTGAGTATTGAGATTTAAGGTATGCACCTCCACACCTGGGAGTGAATTTTTTTTTTTTTTTTTTTTTTTTTAAACAGTGGGGTTGGATGTGAATAAGAGGAGAGGGAAGACTGTGAGCCCCTAAGATGGAGAGCCCCAGTACTTAATGGCCAGGCAGAGGAGCCAGAACAGCTGAGAGCAGACAGAGGGAACTGCACTCCTCCCAGGAAGGCAGGAGACGAGAGCAATGTCGGAGTCTGCAAACGTGCTGAACAGGTAACACACACAGGACAGTGACCTTTGGGTTTGGCACAGAGCTTGGCAGGCACCCAGCTGGATACAAGGAACGTTGGCGCATTGATAGAACAGAGAGATCAGAGTGAGTTTAATGAGGAACTGGACACAAATATGGCAGAACACAATTAGTCCTGTAATCATTAGAGATGTCAAACCAGTACTCCTCAATGAACAAAACCCACCGGGCTTTTGCTTATTTCTGTCAGACCGTTAAGACATGGATGAGCCCTACCCCACATGAACTGCTCTCCAAAGAAAGAGGGAGGGAAAGAAAGGTTGCCATTTTATTCTGTGAGGTTGTTATGACCTCATCACATTTGGATGTGACAACCAAAATCAGACAAGGAGTAGTTTTCTTTTATTTTTCTTCTTCTTCTTTTTTTTTTTTTTTGACAAGATCTCCTGTGGCTAGACAAGACTGGCCTCACCATTCAGCTGAGGAAGACCTTGAACATGGGATTCTCTACTTTTACTCCCTAGCGTGGAGATTACTGGCATGTGCCACCACACTTGGTAATCACCCATTTGAGACAGTTAGTTACAGGCCAGCCAGAGCTACCTGGGATACTCGAGACTCTGTTTAAAAAAAAAAAAACACAAAACAAAACAAACAAACAAAAAGGAAGGATAGAGAGATGGATGAGAAGAAAGTAACAAAATATCTCAAACTCACTGAGGATGACCTTGAACCCCTGATCTGCCTCCATCTTTCAAGAGCTGGGGTTACAGGTGTGAAGGCATGTGCCTTCATGCCCAGTGTGAGATACCATCTTTACAAGTAATAAGGCTCAATATCATTAAGCAACCAAATGACTAAAACAAAATTCTCAGTCAAGATTCTGAGTTAGGCCTGGAATTTTATAGGCCCACTCGAGTGGGAACTTCATGACAGGCTGAATATTTGCTTGGGAGCTGCATGGGGCTCTCTGGCCCCTCACTCATACTTTCTCATAGAGAACTTTTCTGTGGGTGATTTAGGGGCAGAATCTACGTAATCTTGGCTCAGTATTCCATGGTCCTGCCAGGGAGTGGGCTGGGTCTCCAGTGTGCTAAGGGCCAGCTTCCTCTGTAGGGGAGCTGTGGCTCTTCAGATCTAATGCTCAGGGTAAGTTTAATTTTGAATGATGTCTCTGCAAACCCTTTTTATTACAGATCTAAAGCCACTTTTTCCAAGAGGCTTTATCAGTAATAAAACTGACATTTTGATTGCATTAGTCTGTCTCTAGTATTCTCTCTCTCAAATGGTTCCAAATGTCAAGGGACAAGCGGGATGCCATTTATTGTGCATCCTCAAGCCACAACCAGACACACAGCAATTACATCTTATAATAATTAAGAAGAAGGTATGAGCCCCTGGAGAGAAGTAAAACAGTGAGGCAGAACAGGCAGCGTGGAAACAGACGGCTGAGTACCCAGGGGAGGTGGTGCTATCCATCAGCAGGGAACAGTTCCTGCAGTAAGTAATAAGATTTGTCCAGTCTGTACTTAGGATGGCGTTGACTCTTCTGGCGAAGTCTCAGGTAGGGCTGTGGCTGCCTCTTTCTCTGCTATCTCAGGTGACCAGCACTTGTGTTAGGCATCACCTGGCTTATACACCTTGAAGGTGGAATAGAGCACTACACTCTGTAGCTGGCTCAGTTACAGAGACAGGGACACAGACATCTGCAGCCACGTTTGTTATCACAGGCACTGTTATTATTTTGCATTAAACCTTGATTCTGTCCCTGATTTGGGCAATGAAGCCAGTATCAAGTTTTGATCTATTTTGATATTCTGAGTAGAGTTCTTTCGACAGCTAACACTTGGCTAAGATGGTGTCTTTGTAAAGAATGACGTCTAAAACCTGTTATTCTGAGGGTCACATGGGACAAGGACAAAGGGCAGAAATCAGCCAGAGACGTGATGTTCTCATTATCCTCAAGACCCATCTTCATGGCGCAGAGAGACTGAGGCCGGTACTGTACTTTGTCCATTCTCATCCTAGTTCATCCTCCCAGCAAACGGTTGAGATGAGCGGGCAATGATTAAAAAGGAGGAAATCAAGTTTCAGAGGCCGGACTTTAAATCCACACATTATACAAGAACATCTGGGCTCAGAAGCCAGAGTTTCTTCCAAGAGAGCAGCCAGTGCCAGCCATCATTGCCTCAGGACTCCAGTCCCTCGTACAGGATTTGGTGAGTTACCATCCGCTGCTCCAGGATACCAACTTCAGGATCCCTACATGGCATGAGCCCACTGTTTCCATTTACTCAAGTCACATACATGAGTACTTTAAGCGACAGCCTGCCTTCATGGGACAGCACACGGTGGGTGACAAAAGGCACATTTTAGTAGCATCCTTGCGCTCAGATTCTAATTCTAGCTGCTGGTCCTGATGCTCATTTGAAGGCCCCATTCTTCCCAGCTGACTCCCCTGACTTGCCTCTCCCCCAGAGGGTGCTCCACTGCCTTAGCCAGAGTGGAGCTTAGTGACAAGTTGAGACACTGCCTATTCTTTTCTCCAGATGTCTCACTGCAGAAGAAAGCCCAGCAGGTGGGCACAGAGCCATGTGGATGCCTGGCAAGCTTTCCAGGTGCCTCACCCACATCCCAGAGGTGGGCACAGATGTAAAGATACTCACCACCTGACCATGAGTCCATGCTCCATGAAGTTTTTCAGGTTAGGAAGGGTTTGCCTCAAGTCTGGAGTCCCCAGGCCATGTTGGTATCTCAGCTGCAACAGGAGAACAGAGTTTTAAGATGTTTTTGGCAGATTCTAGGCTATGTTCAGAAAGATGAACCCCTTAACGAGCAAACATTTAAGTGTCTGACAGCCATACTAACTGTACAAGAGATAGCATTTAATGGCTCTTCATGTACCATTACCGTACACCTTCAACTTGAAAACCATGTGGTCAACCATGGATCTTGATCTGGTCTTTTGCATTCCTATACCTTTATAAGTTTTCCTAACACCACAGACATACCTCACAGGAGTAGTTTCATTTAAGATAGAAAAGATTCACTGATTTCTATTTTATGCCTGTATGTATGTATGTACGCCACAGGTGGCCTAGGGCCCACAGAGGCCAGAAGGGAGTGTAGGATCTTTTGGAACTGGAGTTCCAGGAGGTTGTGAACCACCATGTCTCCACACCCTTTACTTTTGACTTTGTGTATATGTGGTGTGTCTTTGTGTGTGTTTGCAGCAAAAGTGTGTGTCAGAGAAAGCTGTGAGAGGCCTTTGGGCTCTCTGGAGCTGAGTTATGGGTGGGTGGTGAGAATTGAACCCTGGCCTCTACAAGAGCATTTCATACTCCTCAGCACTGAGCTCTCTCTCCAGCCCCTCAAAAAAAAAAAAAAAATTAAATTACGTTTATTTATGTCAGTTTTGACAGGGTCTATACTCTAGACTTCTTTACAACATTCACCGTGTTTTGTGTGTGAATGTGTGGGGATCTCTTGAGGTTTTATCCTTAGCAGCACATAAATAAAGAAAAGTAAAGCTAATTTAAGAGTTAAGTAAAACTCTGTTACCAAAAAAGATTAATTAATACAGAAGCATCTGGTACTCAGTTGATTTTTCTGAGTGACACTTAATAAAGAGACTCTCTGGAAGTGGGATGATTGGGGAGAATTCCAAAACTCAAGTGAGCTTCTAGAATGTTCTGAATGAATACATACATCAAGTAAGGAGGCACAAATAAACTGTGTTGGAACAAGAAGGTATCTTGGCTATTATTTAAGTCAATGGCAACTTCCTCAGGGCCACAGGTTCATCAGTGCAGACAAAACTAGTCTGGACCTGCTTTCCACAAGCCATTGTAGTCCAGCCCTCTGACGACTGAAGAGAAAATTGGTAACAGCACTTGAGAGGCCACAGGAAAATATCCTTTCCCTTTCAAACCTAGCTTGGTGACCCCAATCCCCTCCTGAGATTTGCTAGCCTTGAATTATAAGATCTACTCCATATTAAATGACATCATTCCTTATATTAATATAAAAGCATTTTTCCATACATTGATAAAAGCAAAATAGCTGATATCCCAATATGACATTCCTGAATTCATCGTTTCAATAAAAAGTGAAATTGTTTACACATGGCATGAAAATTTCACCTGTGACTCATACTGAAAAATATTAAAAAAAAATATATATATGCATGCACACACACACCCATGTGGAATAGCAGGGAACCGTGTCTCTGGGCCAGCACAAAGTCAACTGCCTGCTCAGGCTTCACAATGGAAGGTGGTGCTGAGTTGTTTGCAGAGACCACAGTCAGAGACCACAATGAAAATCTCTTAAGTCTGAGTTCAATGAGTGAGTGAGAGAGAGAGAGAGAGAGAGAGAGAGAGAGAGAGAGAGAGAGAGAGAGAGAGAAAGTAAGCCTCCACTGGGGCCTTAACTGTTTGTCACACTGCACTACTGTGAGAGCTAGCATGGAATTTCAGGATTCTGAGTTCAGGGAGAACACTGGACTGTCTTTAGAGCCGCTGTAAATGAAAAGATGGAGCCTCACGAAGGCAACATGGCCTCTCAGCAGCCTCTTGACGACACCTCTGCATTCTTCCCACCACAGTCTTCAGTTTTCAGTAGAGAGAACGAAAGGAGAAATGCTGGTATCCTGGGGCTGGCATGTGGTGCACATGGTTGAGTGCTCTCTTTGCACACACAAAACCTTAGGTTCGATTCCCTGCACTACATAAACTGGGCATGGAGGCAAAGGCCTGTGATCCCAGCACTCAGGAGGTTGAAGTAGGAGGACTAGAAGTTGAGGGTTATCTTGGGTTGTATACAGAGTTTAGGGTTAGCCTGGGGTACATGAGGCCCTGTCTCAGGAAACAAAAAGTTCCTATCATATATATTTCTACATAAATCAGTGTTTAATAAACTACAGGTTTTATCTAAGAAGACTGAAGTCCCACAGGTCTGTAGTGGAAGAACAGCAATGCCTGCTTTTCAGGAGCATCTGCTTCCAGCTGCTTCTTGCTCATCTTCACCTTTTTAAACGCTCTAGCATTTCCTGCCACCCCACCTCTGGCAGCTTTTACCATGTCCCTTCCGTGGGACCCAGCCGCTGTGCGCCACTTGGGAATGTGACTCTATTTGCTCATGCATGCTTTCCTCACACTGTCTTCAATATATTTAGTCACTATTTTTTTTTTTTTTTGAAACAAGGTCTCATGTAGCCCAGATTGGCTTGAAACTTGCTATGTAGCTAAGGCTGGCCCTTAATCTTGAAATTTCCTGCTTCCACCTCCCATACATTTGATTACAGCACACCTGATTTCAGCTTCCCACTTTTTCTTAAGCCAATATTTGATGCTAAACTTACTATGTCTCAGCGCTGACCCAGGTATGGACTGTTCCCTTTTGGTTGCTTGTTTGAAATCTAAAAGCTGCCTTTTTCTTCTGCTTGCTGAATTTTAAATGTACCTGTCAATGCATACTCTCTTGAACTGTGATGAAACCTTAAGTCTTTTCCATCTGATTAAACATACCATATTAAATACAAGCCCATTTCTTCCCAGAGCAATGTATTTTCTGAAGTGTGGTGAGTCAGCCCATACTGGAGTTTCATTTTCCTTATGTATGTTGCCTCAAAACAGACAGTGTGGCCAAAACCAGTGTGTGGCTCAGGCAAGTACTCAGCTAACAGTCTTACTATTGTTAATACGCATTCATATTCTTTCTGTTTGATCCCCACAGCAGCTGCCAATAGGCTGGGCTTGAAAACTTGCTCATTAATGGGTTGTTACTTAACTAATTAGAAGGGAATCAGCAAAGGAAGAAATGAGTTACTTCCCATCAAAGGGCAAAATCTTAAGTATAATGCTCAAGTCTTTTAAATGCTAATGTTGACTCTGGAGGGACAGTGATAGAAACACACATGTTAATGGCTTCAAAATAATAACAGGGAGAGGGAAAGACTAACACATGATGTGGGTGGTGACAGATCCAACTTGGCTGTGTGGCCCTGTGCAAATTTCTTCCTGGGTTGAGTTAGTCAAATATTTTCAAGCTTTTAAAATTTCATACTCTTTAACAAGTTTCCCTGGTAAGGTACTGTCAAAAACAGAAAAGAAAAGAAAAAGGCAAAATAAGAAAAGAAAGGCACAGAGGAGAAAGGACTGGGTTCACTCATCCAGTGTAACATAACGCCCAGTGGGTGAGCTGTCTTTGGAGCCACTAGCATGGCCTTCTGGCCTGCAGCGGAGACTGATGAGTGTGACAGCGATTCTTGGTTGTCAACTTGACTTCATCTAGTATTAACTAAAACCTGAGCTGCTGGGTACACCTGTGAGGGTTTTTCCTGTTTGCATCATTTGAGGCAGGGAGATCCACTTTAAATCTGGGCCACATCTCACTCTCTGGTAAGATCATTTCTTCTCTGGTATGAGAGCCTACTTCTTCTGGATCCTCATATATACTGAAGACTAGCTGAGACATACACTCTCTTGGACCAAACAACAATTAACTATTGGGTTCTTAGACTTTCTGTTAGGAGGGAATCATTGCTGGATTAGCTGGACCACAGCCTATAAGCCACTCTAGTGATATATATATATATAAAATCTGTCTGTCTGTCTGTCTGTCTGTCTGTCTATCAAGAGAACCCTGACTAATACAGAGTCTTATTTACAGAGGATGGAAGCTCCTAAGCCAGCTCTGCCTTTCAGAGGGTGAGCACTAGAGGGGCAGAGGCAGGAGGATCAGAAGTTCAAGGCAGCAAAAGAGCTGCACTCCCGTTTCTCTGCGGGACCTTGCCTCAGCTCCATCCAAGCCAACCATCACTAACTGCCACACTGCCTGAGCCCAGTTACTTCTACCTCTCTTCCCACTGGGGAGAGTAAGGACAAGGGACCCAGGCAAAGAAAACACTGCTTTGGGTCTAACTGCCTCAAATTAGGCTCAGAAGTAAACACCTTTTGTAACAGCTTCTTCCTGTACCACCACCCAGAGGCTGGGCAGTAAGTGAAATTTTGGTTTCAATTAGTCTGAAGTTCAATTTCCTTTGATTGGTCTAGGACTTCATGGAAGCAATTAATTTTTTTCTGCAATTCAATGGTAGGTAACAGGGATAAAAAAGTGCTTGCAGATAATAAATTAGACGGGAAGTAGACAAGTGATGCTGTGGTTTCCCTGGAATAATTAAGTATAGCATTGTCTAGGAGCAAGAGAAACACCCTTTCCTCAAATAGCCTGGAGGAGCTGGCTTTATAGTTACTGAAACAAACAGAAAGACAAATGGAGCAGAGTATGTTCAGAGCACAACACCAACTAAAGTCATGCCAAATTCCGGGAACCATTTTCTTCTTCCACATCTTTTTTTGTATAAAAAACAGAATGCCATCTCATCTTGAGGCCTATCCAGTTGCTGTGAGTTTTACCATGTGAGACAGGTTGACCTGGATGTTTGAGCTCATATGGACCTGGAGTGAACTGGTTTACGCACATGTCGATTGAAGTCACATCAGCAGTTACCCCCTCTGCAACTCCAGAGATGGAGGAGTGAACTTCAGATAGCTGTTGCTCAGTGAGTGTCCTACTGAGCAAAGAAGTTGGTTTCCATATCCAAGTACCCAATTTGAGTTTTCATTTTTAAGCACAATTTTTCTAGGTCAAGAAAGACTCTGGGGGGTTAGGAATCATTTTGTCATTTAGGTTTTGGCAGAAGAGAAACTCACTGTAGACAACTTGTGCATACACACACACACACACACACACACA